GTCAGAATACCTTCTCTGTGTTGTCAGCATACCTTCTCTGTGTTGTCAGCATCCCCTCCCTGTGTTCTCAGCATACCTTCCCTGTGTTGTCAGCATACCTTCTCTGTGTTGTCAGCATACCTTCTCTGTGTTGTCAGCATCCCCTCCCTGTGTTGTCAGCATACCTTCCCTGTGTTGTCAGCGTACTTTCTCTGTGATGTCAGCATCCCCTCCCTGTGTTGTCAGCATTCCTTCCCTGTGTTGTCAGCGTACCTTCTCTGTGTTGTCAGCATACCTTCCCTACCTTCCCTGTGTTGTCAGCATACCTTCTCTGTGTTGTCAGCATACCTTCCCTGTGTTGTCAGCATGCCTTCCCTGTGTTGTCAGCGTACTTTCTCTGTGTTGTCAGCATCCCTTCCCTGTGTTGTCAGCATATCTTCCCTGTGTTGTCAGCGTACCTTCTCTGTGTTGTCAGCATACCTTCCCTGTGTTGTCAGCATACCTTCCCTGGGTTGTCAGTATACCTTCCCTGTGTTGTCAGCATACCTTCCCTTGGTTGTCAGCATACCTTCTCTGGGTTGTCAGTATACCTTCCCTGTGTTGTCAGCATACCTTCTCTGTGTTGTCAGCATACCTTCCCTGTGTTGTCAGCATACCTTCCCTGTGTTGTCAGCGTACTTTCTCTGAGTTGTCAGCATACCTTCCCTGTGTTGTCAGCGTACCTTCTCTGTGTTGTCAGCATACCTTCTCTGTGTTGTCAGCATACCTTCCCTGTGTTGTCAGCATACCTTCCCTGTGTTGTCAGCGTACTTTCTCTGTGTTGTCAGCATCCCTTCCCTGTGTTGTCAGCATACCTTCCCTGTGTTGTCAGCGTACCTTCTCTGTGTTGTCAGCATGCCTTCCCTGTGTTGTCAGCATACCTTCCCTGGGTTGTCAGCATACCTTCCCTGGGTTGCCAGTATACCTTCCCTGTGTTGTCAATATACCTTCTCTGTGTTGTCAGCATACCTTCCCTGTGTTGTCAGCATACCTTCCCTGTGTTGTCAGCGTACTTTCTCTGTGTTGTCAGCATCCCTTCCCTGTGTTGTCAGCATACCTTCCCTGTGTTGTCAGCGTACCTTCTCTGTGTTGTCAGCATACCTTCCCTGTGTTGTCAGCATACCTTCCCTGGGTTGTCAGTATACCTTCCCTGTGTTGTCAGCATACCTTCCCTGGGTTGTCAGCATACCTTTCCTGGGTTGTCAGTATACCCTCCCTGTGTTGTCAGCATACCTTCTCTGTATTGTCAGCATACCTTCCCTGTGTTGTCAGCATACCTTCCCTGTGTTGTCAGCATACCTTCCCTGTGTTGTCAGCATACCTTCCCTGGGTTGTCAGTATACCTTCCCTGGGTTGTCAGCATACCTTCCCTGGGTTGTCAGCATACCTTCCCTGGGTTGTCAGCATACCTTCCCTGGGTTGTCAGCATACCTTCCCTGGGTTGTCAGCATACCTTCCCTGGGTTGTCAGTATACCTTCCCTGGGTTGTCAGCATACCTTCCCTGGGTTGTCAGTATACCTTCCCTGGGTTGTCAGTATACCTTCCCTGGGTTGTCAGCATACCTTCCCTGGGTTGTCAGTATACCTTCCCTGGGTTGTCAGCATACCTTCCCTGGGTTGTCAGCATACCTTCCCTGGGTTGTCAGCATACCTTCCCTGGGTTGTCAGTATACCTTCCCTGGGTTGTCAGCATACCTTCCCTGGGTTGTCAGCATACCTTCCCTGGGTTGTCAGCATACCTTCCCTGGGTTGTCAGTATACCTTCCCTGGGTTGTCAGCATACCTTCCCTGGGTTGTCAGTATACCTTCCCTGGGTTGTCAGCATACCTTCCCTGGGTTGTCAGTATACCTTCCCTGGGTTGTCAGTATACCCACCAGTGTCGCTATTTGCTGCTTCATCCATACCACCTGCGTAGATTTTAATTATATTCATGGAGGGGAGGGAGCGCTAAACCCCAGGAGGGGAGGGCAGATCCAAGTCCTTGAATCAAGGGCGCTTCACCGGCATCAAGGAACCAGTCTTGAAGGGTGTGTAGATCGTGAACAGCAAGGAACCCGGTTGAAAAGGCATAAAGATGCCGACAGGTACTGTTATAGACAGTCATAGGGAGGAAACCTTTATCTGGACAAAGTTTGGCGACAGGGTGAGTATTTTCAAGTCTTGAAGATGATCATCAGTGAGTGAAACGCCAAGAAAAAGAGACTAGTCATGCTGTAAATACCTTTGTACTACCTAACAAGGAATCCAGTGCCAACCTCTGTGGAACGCCATTAGTGAAACGGATTCTTCTACTGGACTTCCTCCTTCAATGCTTAACGGTCAATCAGGACTGATCCACGAGGAACCTCTCCTTCAGCAGTCTCCAGTGTATGATTCTAGCGAATCATTATATTCACAAGCACGGGCCATACAGACCCTTGGAAATGGAAGGCAATCAAGTTTAATCCGAACGGAAGACGAATTCTTGGCTCAAGAACTCTTCCCATCACCAAGGGGAAATTCTATCAAAGGCTACATCGAAGATTACGTAAACTCCGTATTAACATTATTATGGCCCACTGCTTCAGACACCTTGGCGAAAAAGATCAATATATGTTTTAGTCAAGCACGATTCTTTATGACTGGCGTCTACCGTCAATCTTCCTGTCTGTGCTTCAAATTCTTCACCTACTTCTAGGCTGAGGACTGATTACCTCGTCTTTTGTTTATACTTCTACAGTCTTCACATTATGTTCATGTACTGTACTGATAAAGCCATTGGATGGCGAAACGTTTACAAATTAAAGACACGCAGATGTTGCGCTGTGGTTCTGAATGAACTGTATTAACCATAGCCTCTGTATTATTATTCTAATCACCGGGAAGCGCTAGACCCATAGGGATCATACAGTGCATGTTTGATTTAAGGAAAGGGTGGGGGGTGGGGGGTACCTTAGGGCATTCCATCCCATCTTTTAAAAATTCATTCGTTAAGAACCCTTAAAAATAATTCATCTGGCTCAAAGATTTTTTCCGAGTTATTATAGCCAGTGGCTAATTGTTTTTCATAGTTTTAATAAATAATAATCTACGAGATAACATATGAGTTTTCCTAGTGAAAAATATTATTTTTATAATACTAGAGATACTGACTAGGTTATCTTCATTAATGTGCAGTGTGTATGTGGTGTTAAGAGCAGTAGTACGTGTTGTCTCACAGTAACAAGGCAGAGGTGTCTCCTCACTTCATCAAGTAACCAAGTGAACTACAGTGAACCATATCAAATCACAGAACGGATGGGAATTGAACCCATGGCAGGTGAGTCATGAAACTCACAGGTCAGTGATTGGTATTGAAGCAGTGATTGGTACAGTGAAGCACACGTGTTGTTCCGGATACAGGCATGTTTTTATGTTCTCTGAGGTGTTGTTGCAGACTTCTTGCCTGTTCTCCAACGTATTGTTTATCACAACCACCACACGAAATAACGTAGACCTCTGCGTTGTGGTATATGGGTGTGGTGGTGGCCGTCTTCCTCACCAGGTCTTTGAAAGTGGTGAAAAATATAATGGTCGCATTCATCTTTGTCTTGCTGGGGCAATGGCCACTTTACTGTCTGCGTTCCCACACGGGAGGGCAATGTACGTTACAGTGGGGGTTATCTGAAATTGTCAAGTTCACGATGACTGACGAAATCGTAAGGACACAATTGCAAACAAACCACAGTATGGGTCGGGATTGAATTCGAGGTAAGCGAGTCGTAAATCACACTTATGCGCTGGACTGTAGTATTACGACTCACTTGCCGCGAGGTCAACCCCACCCGTACCGTGGCAAGTTCAAGATGCGTTGTGCTCTCTGCCGTTACTGATAAATGGGAGGGAACCGGAGAGGAATGAATACACGTTGGGTATAAGGCCATTCCTCTTCGAGGAAGGCCGGGCTGGAGATCCTAGGGGCTCTCTAGAACACAATTATAACTTCTCTTTTGGTCCTAGTGTCGTGATGAGAGTAGAACCGCGGCTCTGTTGGCAGCGCGCTCACCTCACATAAAGTCCGTGGTTCGATCTCCGGCACGGGTGAAAACGTTGGTCATGTTTTCTTACACCTGCTGCCCTTGTTCACCTAGCAGTAAGTAGGTACCTGTTTGTTAATTGACTGTTGCAGGTCGCATCACAGGGATGGTAGTAGACCTCACATAGTGCTGGGCTTAAAAATGAGCTGAGGTACGATAACAACTCTTAGTCTGTAAATGAGCTGAGGATAACAACTCTTAGTCTGTAAATGAGCTGAGGATGAATAACAACTCTTAGTCTGTAAATGAGCTGAGGCAGAATAATAACTCTTAGCCTGTAAATGAGCTGAGGTAGAATAACAACTCTTAGCCTGTAAATGAGCTGAGGTAGAATAACAACTCTCAGCCTGTAAATGAGCTGAGGTACGATAACAACTCTTATTCTGTAAATGAGCTGAGGATAACAACTCTTAGTCTGTAAATAAGCTGAGGATGAATAACAACTCTTAGTCTGTAAATGAGCTGAGGTAGAATAACAACTCTCAGCCTGTAAATGAGCTAAGGTAGAATAACAACTCTTAGCCTGTAAATGAGCTGAGGTAGAATAACAACTCTTAGCCTGTAAATGAGCCGAAGTAGAATAACTCTTAGCCTGTAAATGAGCTAAGGTAGAATAACAACTCTTAGCCTGTAAATGAGCTGAGGTAGAATAACAACTCGCAGCCTGTAAATGAGCTGAAGTAGAATAACTCTTAGCCTGTAAATGAGCTGAGGTAGAATAACAACTCTTAGCTTGTAAATGAGCTGAAGTAGAATAACTCTTAGCCTATAAATGAGCTGAGGTAGAATAACAAATCTTAGCCTGTAAATGAGCTGAGGTAGAATAACAACTCTTAGCCTGTAAATGAGTTGAGGTAGAATAAGAACTCTTAGTCTAAAAATTGATCCTTGGGAAAAATAAAAGCAGATCATTTTTATTACCTGACTTCTCTTCCATCGTATACAATGACAATCTTTCATGTATTTAACCGACAAAGCTCTCAAGAGCAGAGAGTTTCTCAATATATGTTACAGTGTTACACAAATATCTTATATAAACACTGTCGTTATAAAACCATTATTGTAACATTGCCATTACGGTACAATACAAATCCTAGCATGCCTGTTAATAAACATTATAACTACAAAACACTGCACAATACAGTATTGTATTTTTGTGGGTTACCTTTAGATTCTACTCTCCCATCTTTCATCCAAGGTGGAAGTGAATTTTTTTTTTTAACTCAAACAAGCCTAGCAATCTAACGTAAACTTGCTAAAACTGACGTAGCCTAATATAACTGAATCAACTTAAACATGTGTAAGAATTTAAGTACATACACATATTTCACTACTGTCCTTAGGATGAAGGAAGAGAATGACTTATGTGACCCTAGTAGGTTTAGCGCTTCTTTTTAATTATAATAATAATAATAATTATATAATTCTTGTTTATATATATTTAATGACATTTTCTTTTAATGATGTATGACCCTAGTAGGTTTAGCACTTCTTTTTAATTATAATAATAATTAAATAATTCTTGCTTATATATATTTAATGACATTTTTCTTTTCATAAGCAAATTGTTTTTTTTCCTAAACTGAACAGCAGTGGTCGCTTTTCTGTCCCATCTTGACGCTCTCGAAGACCTTCATGAATCTTCATTTATCCTTTAATGTACAGCTTTGTTATATAGTGTGCCAGGTTGTGGTGCCCACTCTGCACGAACAATCTAACTGATCTAGTCGTCATCCAAGAAGATAGTCTGAAACTCATCGCCCGCTGCTTCATTTAACATAATTTATTATAAATATTAATTATTATCAGCCCTAAACACGTGTGGGTTGTGCTTGACTGCACAGCTGTTGACAATTTGTTTGCTAGAGCGCGCATGCAAGTCTAAACCTTTTGTTATCCTGTGATATAGCCCTTCCATCCTTCCCTCACCCACTCCTGCTGTCTCTTCCTCACATCATTCAGCATGCTGTGTTCCGTCCTGACTAGATCAACACAGCTCGAGTTATCTGTTCTTACCGCTACATGCTTCACCATACTGCCCCAGTCCATATCTTCAGTTACATTAGCAGTCTGCTTCTGTACTACACACGATCTCGCTAGTCTCTCGTTGGCTTCTCTCAGGTCCTCAACTTCGCGTCGCATCCTGTCCCTGCCGAAGCCCTCTACTTTCTGTTCGAATATCTGGTAGAAGAAGTCGTAGAGGCGAACATCTGCTTGATTCAGACGTTGCAGGCCTTCTCGCGTCTCCTCCGACATGTTTCTTTTTTTCTGATGGACTCTGTGGTTAATCCTGAGGTAGGTGACGTCCTCAGTACTCCAGCACATGATATTCTTCAGTAGAACAAGAGATTCGTCGTACCTCTCAGCTACCATCACCAGATCGAAGGCATTCTGCAGCCTCTTCAGTTTTTGTGTCATCTCCCCAGGTTCGTAGTCCTCCACGGTGCTGTAGCCCATGTCAAAGAACATTTGGTGGACACCGAAGACTCTGGATTTCCGTTTTCTCATTACAGCTTTGTAGGGCAACTTGGCGAATGTCTCCAGCGTCATCTTGTAGAACTGCACCCACGGAAAAATGTCTGACATTATTTATTACTACGAAGAAGCTGAATAAAACTAAAAAAAAAAAAATACAATTCACAATGACGTAGTTGGAACAATTCACAAATATTCCCGAAGTTGGAGATAAAACTTAGTACGACACTTGGGTCCGTTCAGTATCACTAACAGGTCCAGGGCGGGCAAAATCATAGTTTTAAGATTTATCTCAAATTTGTGAGTTACTTGCAAACAAGACTATCTCCAATTTTACCTTTAGTACTGACAGATACATTCACGTAGATTTACAGAGCATGCTAATATTTAACTTTGGAACCTATTCTTATTAAAATTTGCGTAACATATCTTAATCCACCAAACCTAAAGTACCTTGAAGAGCGGCAACCACTGTGGTGAGCTCTGGTTAAAATTTTGGATGACTGGAGGCACATGCAGTTCTGCAAAATAGCTGAGAACCGCTCACAACAGTGAGCTATTTTGCATAGGCGCTTCCTGTGATTGTATTCACTTGGACCTCCTCCTCTTTTCTGCAACTCTACAAACTACTGATGATGTGTTGATTACAACACGAAAGGCCTAGAGCTATCATTCAACGCCCCCCGTAGTTGTTTTGCATCTTGTATCGCTTGTTCGCGATTTTTGCCTTTACTAAGTTGTGTTTGTGTATGCGTGTTCAAACTTACCAAGTTGAGACTCATCTCTTGGCCCTAACTCTTAATCATACGCTTGTGTGTATATAAGGTATGTATATATGTATGTATGTTTATATATACAGCTCCCCACGCAAATCTAGCAGTGTTGTTACCTCCTGAAGATCAAAGAAGTCCCAAAGGGATTCGAACTGGGCGACTGGTTCTCGTACTATGGTCACCCAGACAGCGTCCTCTCTCATCGCCTGAGACCAAAGAAAATATGACTTTAAATATTGTGATCTATTATTAAATATTTACGGAGGTAATTTCTCACCCTTCATATAATGGCACACACAGAGAAAACATTCAGTTCTGAACATCATGAGAGTTCTGTGTCTCGTATTCCCCAGAAAAGGACATGAGATATGCAGTATTTTCCGGCATATAAGGCGCACTTTTTTCCCGTCTTGAAAAATCAGCCTGCGCCTTATATGCTCAAAATGAAGGTCAAGGGCAGAGTTGTTTACTTACGTTACATTACAACTGCTTGCAAACATCGTCTTATATGTCTTACACGCTCGTGCGCCTTTTATGTCGGAAAATACGGTACATTTTTCATCAAGGTAGCCCTCTTTACTACTTTATTTGCTCGGGGTTATTTCTTACATTTCTACTGTAGTATTTTCTTCCGCCTTCTTCTTACCTGCTGAGCATATGTTGGTTGGCTGCATCCTGGTCTATCTTCTGCTGATTCATTACTTAGTCCTTCCTTTACCACTTGCTTAAACTTATCGAATTTCTCCTAAATCTTTCTTTCTAGGTATTCAGTTATCCTTTCCTCTGTATCCTTTAATATTTTCCAGACCTCAAAGGCAAGTTTCTCTTTGATCCCATTTGTGTCCCCATTCATTACCTTAAGCATATGATAAGTGCTCCTCATGTGTGTGTGTCTTCACCTAATTGTAGTTGCAGGGGTCATGTCTCAGCTCGTGGCCCCTCCTCTCAACTTGCAGCTTGCCAGATTCACTCCTAGCCTCGTGGGCCCTCTAGTACCTACTCCTAAAATTTTGCATGGAGTTTGTATTATTTCTTCGTTGAGATTATTCCACTTCTCAACCACCTAGAGAGTGAAGAAATATTTCCTGACATTCATGTGTGTTCTTACTGTCGAATTTCCGCCTCTCAGCCTGTCCCTGCCTGCCCTATCAACTCCTCAGAGTATTTTTTTTATCGTGTCTTCCTTGGTCCTTTTGTCCTCCAGTATTGTTAGAATTAATTTCTCTAGTCTCTCTTCGTAGCCCATTCCCCTTAGCTATGGAACTAGTTGCAAACTTCTACACTTTCTCCAGTTTCTTAACATGCTCTCTCAGGTCTGGGTTCCATATTGGTGCTGCGTACTACTCCACAACTGGCCTGACGTATGTTGTATAAAGCGCCCAGAATGACTTCTGGTTGAGATTCCAGAACGCCATTCTCCGATTTGCCAGGTGAGCAACGGCTGCAGAGATTACTCGGTTGACACTAGCCTCTGGCTACTATGCTTACTCCCAGGTCTTTCTGAATGAGGTCTGCATTATGCAGCCTCTTC